GCAAGCTTCCTAGCTAACCATTCATGTGGAGGTAACATATCTTTCATCATCATCATCATCATCATCATTACCACATCATTAAAACTAATACCAGTACAACCCTGAGCCATTTCTTGATGAGCCCGTTTGCATTTTTCCCATAAATCTTTGACCAATCAGGGATGTTCATAGGAGCTGATGATTGTTGAACCACCTTGTTGGCTGCTTCATCATGGGCTGTAATTGGCATATTATTATATTATTATTATAGACCTTGGAATCATTATGGTGCAGTGGTGAAACGCCATGCAGAAGAAGAAGAAGAAGACCAAAAAGTACTCATTAGAGTCCTTTTAGGACTTGAATCTTCTTCTTCTTCACTTTCTTTCACAAAAGACCACACTCTTCTTCTTCAAAATCTTCATTTCTCATTGATCTTCTACCACCACCCTCACTGTTATGCTCATAGACCATATTGCCAGTCTTCCATGACTAGTCAAAAAGTTCAAAAAACCCCAACACAAAAGCTTCAAAATCATTTTATGAGCCAAAAACAAGGAAACTGAAAAACCAAAACTAGACCAAAGCAGAGGAAGAGAAGATTTTGAGCAAGTATAAAGTGACTTTGATCGGTATAATAGAAGAAGCAAAAAGTAATTTTTGTTTTTTTTTTACTTTTCCTTTTAAGTGCAGTGATTTTATTGTCTTGGGAATCAAAAGGAGAAAGTGTGTAAGAGAATATATCAGGAATCTACCTTGCCTTGGTTTTCAATATCCTCCACAAGAATCAGACTTTTCAGGATAAACTCAAGAATACATGTAAAAAACATAATAAACCTAACCAGGACAAACAAGAGAAGCTGGTGAAAACCCTTTCATGAAAGTGTCCATATACTTCCATAAACACAGATTTTCAAGTGCCTCAAAATGGTAGTATCCTGCACCAACAGAACAGGAAGCAGACAACAGAGACAGCCTGTATCCTATCTTGATGAACCACCTAGCCCCTTTTTCCCCTTCCTTTCACCATTTGCGGCTTCTCAAAATAAAAACTTAAATGGAGAAAAAACAAAAAGGAAACAAAGTTATGGGTTCTGATAGAATCTCAGTTGTCACAAAATCTATATTACTCTCCTGAAAAATTAAACTTCTTAGAAGTCAGAAACTTATAGAGGTTTGTAGATTTTTTTGACATGGGGATGCATGTTGTATCCATTGTGCTTAATAGGACTCATATTATAATATATGAAGCACGGAAAAGGCTGGCTTTTGATTGGGAAGTGGTGAGAGAAAGCATTGCCTGACTAACCTCACGATTTCCGTAATAACCTTATCCCAACACACCCAAACACCAACAACTACAACTCATCTCCTGATTCGGCTTTAGCGTGAAAAAGCTCGGCCACTGATTGAAAGCTATCTCTCTGTATATGTGTTAAAGTGCCAACTTTTTTAAGAGCGTTCCTAGAGAGGTGCTCAAGGAGGCCGTAGTAAAACATTTAATTGGTTTCTTGATAGTTAGCACATATATATATTGCACAATAACATGCATGAATCTTATAATTTATTGGTTTTATGTATAATCCTTGAAACTTGATTTGTATATATATTTTTTTTTATTATAATTTAGATAAGGGATAATACATTTGTAATCTGTAATCTTTTCTTTTGGTATCCGGGTTCTGACTATTTGCATACACTAACTAATCTCAACACTATAAGTAACGGTAATATACTCGTGATTACTCTTATTATATATAAAGATTCAAATTCAGAACCCTCATAATAATAATTCTCAGCAAACCACCAGAGTAGTTAATGTTGTAATTCAATGTAATGTAATAACATATATGTGAGGAGGGTGGGCGGTGGGCAGGATGAGGTCATGTCTTCTTCTGGTTCCGGACTAAAATCAGCAGGAGGGTCTGTAAACTGTAACTCTGTTGGAAAATGACTCAAGAGAAGAGCGTGGTCAGGATTCATGCAGGCATCTGATCAACTATAAACTAGGAGTACATCTGTACATCTCCCTCTATTTACCACCTCTCACTTTTCATCATAAAAATCCAAAGGAAAAGCCAAACACCCTAAACCATTAACACCAAATAACACAAGAAACTTGAAGAAATTAACAAACTCAAACCCCAATTGGACTACGAAAACGACAGCCCCATAAGCTAATCAAACTTAGTACTGTTATGTCATTTTCATTAATCAAACCATCTTGGCTGCTAGCCATGGATACCCAGTTCAATGATAAAAATAAAAATGAAAGGGCTTAAGCCTACTTAACAGTCGTTCTCAAATAATTGGTGTTACCCCTTAAAGAATCGATCATGTAGGCAATTTCATTGGATTCATGCAGGCATTTCTGATCACTGTACTGATCACTCTTTTTCATTATAAAATTCCAAAGCAAAAGCCAAACTCCCTAAACCATAACACCCCAAACACAATGAAACTAGGAAGAGATTAACAAAACTCAAACCCCAAATGGACTTTCGAAACCTGACAGCTCATAAGGTAATCAACCTTTAACTTTACTACTGTTATGTCATTTTTGGCTGCTAGCCATGCTAAAGCCTCCTTACTTAACTAGTTGTTCTCAAATAATTGGTGTTTACACTTAAAAGAATCAATCATGTAAAGACATATATAAGCAAGGTCCTGTTGTGTGGGTGCGTGTGGTACAGTAAAACCAGCCAGCTGAGTTTTTCTTCTTTTGATATAGATATATTTGGCTGCCAGAGAGGGACATCCACAAAACCCCACTTAATCTATACATTACTCATAAGAGGAAACGTGGCATCAGAATTTAATTAGCTTAATTAATGTTGTTAATTAACCATTGTTCTTGATTCTTCCATGCATTTTTATTGTGGGTTAAATCAAGGATATCTCAAAGGCTTTGTGCTTATAAAATTATTAAATTATAGTAAAAATTGTGCTTATAATCATTTGGTCAACAAATAAAAAAAATGAATTGGTGCAAATAAGTTTATCATTTAATAAGTAAGGTCAGTCGAAAAATGTAAAAACTGTGGCTGCTGGGATTCGAGCCAGGTCTCCACGGCCACAACGTGGAATTCTTACCACTAAACTACACCACATGCTCCTAAACGGTTTTAATTTTTTATATTATTTTTATTGAGGTTAAAATAGGAAATCACGACTCTTTAACAATTTTGGATATATATTTTTTTAAATATATTATAGAGGTTTTCTATTGTTAGTTTTATAATATTTTTAATGGGGTTTTTGATAATTTGAGAAATGGTTTAATATTTTCGAAAATTGTTTTGGAACTTTGCGATTTTTCTCAAAGATGGATGAAATGAAACCCACTTATAAAACATATTATGTGATAAAAGACTATAGAGTTTCATATTTAGGGGGTTTGGTCGAGTAATGTCTAATAATCCTCCAATACAAATGTAATCATTGTAAATTATATACAAGACAATGACCGTTGCTTTACTGTTAACTTGAATGATCAATTAATAATGTAAAACAAGAATAAAGGTTTCATGGACAAAAACTACCAAAAAGCTTATATGATGGAAAGAAAGAACCCATATCTACCATCCAAAAAGGATCTTCTTGATTATGTTATATACACCAGAATCCTAGCCCATTGTTTTCCTATTCATGCTTATGCTTCGAGGGATTCATGTGGGCTCGTGTCCTCCACTACCAAACCTTGTCAATGTTCAGTCACATAACTATCATCCCGAAGTGTTGGTCAATTCAAATTCAATTGCCATCACAGATGATAAGCAATTTTGTGTGGTTATTAGGCCAAGAAAGGTCCTTTTTTTTGTTTGCATGTGTTCACAACAACTTATTTTTGTCAAAGATTCCATTAGATTTTAGTACTTCATATCTCCAATTCATGTCATTATCAGCAAAAGGGATACATAAATCCCACCAACTTTCTTAGATGTTCTTGCATTAGCATTTCTATGTCAAAGTTCAGTCATTGATGATATTATATATATGTTCCTGTTGGTGAAAATCTTCTAATGACACCAGAAAATCTTGCCAAAGATCAGATTTTGGCTTTGAAAAGAGACAAAGTGTGGCGTATTAGTTCTTTGGCTATTTCCGGCGCCTTAACACTAGGCATAAGTATTTAATGTATATAGACATTTACTTGGAGATTTATCCTATAAATAAAGCACTCCATTTGTAAATCATAATGTGTAGGATCAAATTTCCATAATAGTAGTTTCAATTTTTTCTATATCTCATCCTGTTCATTTTACTTATGTTAGTTTTTGGTTTGTGTGAGTTAAGGACTTTAACACCATCTCCTGTGTTAAGGCCGCACAGAACTTAGCCAAAAACTAATACACGACAAAAGTCTTTTTTTCAAAGTTTATTTAAAGTCCAAGGACCCTTTTTGTCCATTCTTCCATCAAAATGTGATCTATAACAATAAAATTAGGTAGCATGGTTAGTCCAATTTCCATTCAACCACTAGCAGATAATGGATTCATTGATGGAGCTTGGATGTTTTAGGTGAAGAACATTTCTCTTGAGGTAAAAAAAACCGGTGTGGACTTAGAACCCAAAACAAACAATATCTATTGGAGAGACTTAAATGTAATAATCTAGATATGCTTATGCTGTAAAGACACTACTCTTTGCGTCGAAAGATCAATATTGCCACAAAGATTTCATTTAACATGTACAAATGCAACATAACTGGGAATCTGCAGAAAACAGCAAATCCTAAATATAATATCTGCACCATAGTGGGCAAAAGTACCATTCACCAAATATAATTATGTGCCCCCTATACATTGATGGGGTGTTATTAATGAAGTAACAACACTGAAGATACAAAAGCATGGTTTAATTGGGTATTAAATTTTGAACATGATTATCAAAATCATCACCTTTAGCCTGAAAAACTTTCTTGTGGTTGGTCAGCACCACTTATGTATTAATCTAGAAATGTTGTTTAATCAATTGAACTTTGATATCTAGCTTCAAAATTACCAAATATTACAAGTGGGAGAGACTAGAGATCAAACTAATGAAATATATTGCAGAATATATTTAATTATATGAAGCAAGAGGTAGACAGCCTTACAATAACTAGTACTATTATTGTTCTCAGTTATGGTACAGAACTTGTAATACAGTTCTCCAGCCATATAAAGAATTGATGGTTACAGGGCCGCCCAGATGTTTGTTTCCTCTACGCATGAAAATGGAGGACTCGATAGTGTAGCCTATGTCTTCTCTGGTCCTAGTTCTGTATTCTGGTAGTACATATACATTTTCCATACCCACAAACTTATATATGCATGTGTCAGCATTCATAAGTATGCCATTCCTGAGTTTGGAAGAGCAGCAGGCAATATCTCAGAAACTTGAACGCCATAGCGCATCCTCACCCTCACCACAGAGCTCATGAACTTCTTTGATCCTCTCAACAGACTTGCAAATCCCACTGCATCTCCAATCAAATGAGGCAACACAGGTTTTGCCCATCTGAGCCTTCCACTCACAATCTGTAGAAATGTGTTACATGATCAAGTCTATTAGTACTGTGTATGCAGCAACTGGTTTACCGTATCATATGTAACTTTTGCTCCGTATGAGGAAAAAATGGTAGCTAAGAGAATTGTCTAGATATATTGGTCCAAGATATTAGAGCTAAACATAAGGCGTTCACAAATGATGTGACAACTGGTTTGACAAGTTAAATCACTTATTACGCCATCCTATATTAATATGATATTGTCGAAATAACTGCTATGCACATCGCTTAGGATACAAAGTTGATCCAACTTTGTAAGTTTAGTATTATTGAACAGAAAATATCCCATCTTTTAGGTCTTGCCAGAGAAAACATATGGTTTATAAAGTTATCTGGCAGGAAGACAGAATATCAATATATTTCACAATAATTTTGATATCCTTCACCTATGGTATCAGAAGTTATAAAAAAAAAAAAAAAAAAATGAAATAAACCAAGAGCAAGAGGTTTACAGGTCAAAGAAAATTTTCTTTTCAAGGTTTAAAAGCTTACAAATTACTGTAAAATGTTGATGGAACTTCCCTGTAAAACAAATCCAAACAACTGCAACACACAAGCACAATAGCAAACAACTGCACAATCTGATAAGAACTAAAATAGTATTAATAACGATTGGAATGTCACTTGAATGAGCAATTCACTCAACAGATGGGTTCCCAGCAGTTGGAGGAGCTGGGGGCCTCCCAATTTGTTCTATGAAGAATTAACTCGACAATGACCTCTCTCTCCTCCTTTTCTATATACTAATTATTCTATTTTATATTAACTGATATCAGCCACATGTATTTTCTTATAACAAACTCACCACACTCTCCACATTCATTGCCTCGTCACACTCACTGCACACTAACGTCTATTTCTAATCTTGCCTTTCAATTTATAAACCTTGCTTATGGGTCGTCTAACAAATGTTAAGTTTAGAATTTTACCAGGCGGGGTACCACAGCACAATCTTCGATCATCCACATGCTCCACATCTAAACCAATCAACCAAGACCCCAACGAAACATCTTCATTGGTGTATTTGTGTAGGACATGCCTGAGAAAATTTAGAACACACTTAGCATGACAATATTTAAATCCCCAGGTTTCCACCATAATATTTTTTCCTTTAATAAAAAAGGTGGGCATTTCAAGTACCAATCTAGTCCACATCGTGTAAAACCAAGCTCTTAAAATCAAGTCTCAAGCATGCTCAAAGGGAACCAGAACCTCTTGGTTCCAGTTTCTAAATCAACAACTAGATAGACAAGCTCGCAAGAATATAACCATAACTTATCAAAGAGAGTAGAGACAAGATGGATTTCAAAACTTACCGATTCACTAATATGTACATAGCTAAATCTCTTGATATAGCATATAATTGTCCTGTAGCATGTCGGAAGTATTTATTTCCAACCTCACCAAATTTCCAGTACTCTGGTTCATAGTATTTCACTCCCCTGTTCGACAAGGAAAGGATGGTCAAAATACAAAAATTTAGTGAATTTTTTAACATTCAGCCTATTAAAGAAATGCAGGAAATATTGCTTACTTTCTAGCAAGGACAGGACCAGACTTCATGCAACCAATGTAAAGACGATGTGTCATACGATGACCAGCTAAGGTTGTTCCAAGTGTTGCTGGGGTAATTTATTAGTAAACAAACTCAATGAGATCAAGAAGATAACAGATAAAACTGTCAGTTGATCAAAGAAATTATTATTCTTGTGAGTATACCTTGCCAAGGACAACATCAAGTTCAATAAAAACACAGAAAAAGGTACAAACATGGCAGCCTGGTGCATCAGGAAAACTGTTTCTAGTATATACAAATTTCAACATATTATTTTTTATCTCACAGACCACCAGAAAGTGTCTTAGCTTTCACATTTGGGTATTGTCAGTGATATAGGGCTCAAAATTGATTGCAGTGAAAAATTGCCAGATGCATCCTTAGATCTGATTGCGTAACTCATGCATTGTGCCTCCACACTTCCGTTAGACAAACATACAATGATCCATAGTAAACTTGATGGTTTACTCAAATGAATCAACAATTTATGTGAGACCTTTCAGCAACTTTATTTAAAGAGTTGTTTTCAGCCCCAATAATTTACCCAAAAATAAACCTAATCTCGATTCGCATTAAGTACCATTCTAATTATGAAATCAAGGCACATTGCAGAAAAAGTCAAATGCCTACAAATGATGTATGCAAGATGAAGGTACAGACTTTCCCCTTACCTAGATTTACATGAACATCATCATCAACTTTGACATAAAATTCTGCATGCCATGTGGCAACGGCAGTGGAGAAGTAAGTCTTAGTCTTGGCGGACAATTCCAGGTAGCCCTCAGTATGGTCCTGCTCGTATAATATGAACAAACACGAGACAGCCAATCAGAATTTTCTTCTGGTCTTCATTAAGATTACTAGGACTCTGATTGTAAACACGGATAACACCATTAAAGGAACAAGAGAGAAACATCACCAGCGTCAAGAAGTCTCCGTGCATAATTTCCTCTGCTTCAATAGCTTTATCAAGAATACCACCTGATGTTGCACTATATAAATATCCCAATTGATTAATGAACAACTTTTTACTCCTTAACAGCAAAATTATAGAGACAAACTAGAGATTCAGTATTTAATAAACTTTTCGATAATATAAAGAGGATTCTAACTGGAACTCAAGGATCAATTCATGGTTTACAAGCTAGAACAAAACATTATTTGGGTAACATGAATTTATACCATTTTTCACAATTTGTACAAAATTTTTGCATCAGAGAATAGGCTTGAATTGTAGGCTAGTTCTAAACCCACTTTTAGAAGGCAAAGAAAAAGAAATATAACCAGATTTGTGATATTTTTCAAAGCTAAGGCTCAAATGTTCATCAAGTTCATTGATGGAAAAAATATAACTTATAAACAGAGGTATTTACCCAGATAATCTACACACGAAATAGGTATTTCAAATCTCACCTGTGACCTATAACAAATCGTATAATGATGCCTTTCTCTTCCTCCAGCCTTTTTCGTTTTTCACCTATTGTTGTTATAGTAAATTCCATTTATCACACATTAGATGAAGGATGCAACAAAATGAGCATATAATAACAGGAAGAAAATTAGACAAATATATAACTAATTGATGCACCTTGTGGCATCCAAGTTTCACGAACTGAGTCTCTTCGTTTTCGGCTACTAAAAGCTGTATTTATTCCAATCACCATAAAGTACTTTCTTTTTGAAGGTGACTTGATTTTTCCTTTTACTGGAGGACTGTGCAACATAGACTCATGCTCAGCTCTAGCAGCACCTAATTTCCTCTCTAATTCTGAAATTTTTATATACTGTTCCCTGCATTCAGAATGTAGGTCACTCAAAAAAGAATACTACATCTTATAAAATGAATCTAGTTTAACATGCATTAGAACAGCTTACTTAATAGCATCCTGGACTGTCGAACTACCCCCTACACTGTTGTTGGAATTATGTTTTACAACCTTATTAATAAGAAAAAAGAATATGAAAAACATCAGTAGCCGATTTCAAGAAGAAGTGAGATCACATGTAACAATAACAAGCAAAATAGAGCATTGAGTTTAGAAGGTAGAATTTAAGCAGACACCACTAGGGTTATGATGGCAGGTTTTAGTGATCAGATCATCAATCAGTGTGAAAAATAGTAATTAGAAACAAAGCAGTGTATTGACCATTAAATCATGATTCTGCCACCCTTTCAGCCATGCCCATTAAAAAAAAGAAAAAGAAAAAGAAAACAGAAAAAAAGTATCTGCCGAAGCAAATTCTTCCAGAAATGGATTCCCAAGCACTACACTTTCACTTTAATATGATTTTTTGAAAGAAAAGATCAATATATATTGTGAGACCAGAAAGCAATATTTTCAAAAGAAAATAACATTCCATTTGTTAGAAGTAGTTCAAAGTATGATGAGACTTGTGATCTGTAATGGAGAAAAAAAAAAAATTCCACAGGCCACCAAAAGTCATCCTTCTACAACGTCAGACTTTAGATATAACTTAAGTTATTCAAACTGCAAAATCACATCTTCAAATCTTAGCTGTAGATCAGGAACTGAGATTTGAAGGGTAGCGTGACAGATTCACTCACAAGATCAGTATAACAACCCTTCGACTGTATCCCTTCATCTTCAAGTTTAGATGTTCGTGCAATGCCTTTAACTTCGGGCATAATCTGAACCCTGACACAATATTTCTTGATTTATAAGCATGGATATAGTAAAAAAAACCAGCCAATTTGTGAAGTAACTTGAACATTTACGGCAATCAACAGCCAAAAAAAAGAAAATTTTCTTTTCAAGGTTTAAAAGCTTACAAATTACTGTAAAATGTTGATGGAACTTCCCTGTAAAACAAATCCAAACAACAACTGCAAAACACAAGCACAATAGCAAACAACTGCACAATCTGATAAGAACTGAAATAGTATGAATAACAATTGAAATATCACTTGAATGAGCAATTCACTCAACAGATGGGTTCCCAGCAGTTCGAGGAGCTGGGGGCCTCCCAATTTGTTCTATGAAGAATTAACTCGACAATGACCTCTCTCTCTCCTTCTTTTCTCTATACTAATTATTCTATTCTATATTAACTGATATCAGCCACGTGTATTTTCTTATAACAAACTCACCACACTCTCCACATTCATTGCCTCATCACACTCACTGCTCTTTAACGCCTATTCCTACTCTTGCCTTTCAATTTATAAACCTTGCTTATGGGTGGTCTAACAAATGTTCAGTTTAGAATTTTACCAGGCGGGGTACCACAGCACAATCTTCGATCATCCACGTGCTCCACATCTAAACCAATCAACCAAGACCCCAACGAAACATCTTCATTGGTGTATTTGTGTAGGACATGCCTGAGAAAATTTAGAACACACTTAGCATGACAATATTTAAATCCCCAGGTTTCCACCATAATATTTTTTCCTTTAATAAAAAAGGTGGGCATTTCAAGTACCAATCTAGTCCACATCGTGTAAAACCAAGCTCTTAAAATCAAGTCTCAAGCATGCTCAAAGGGAACCAGAACCTCTTGGTTCCAGTTTCTAAATCAACAACTAGATAGACAAGCTCGCAAGAATATAACCATAACTTATCAAAGAGAGTAGAGACAAGATGGATTTCAAAACTTACCGATTCACTAATATGTACATAGCTAAATCTCTTGATATAGCATATAATTGTCCTGTAGCATGTCGGAAGTATTTATTTCCAACCTCACCAAATTTCCAGTACTCTGGTTCATAGTATTTCACTCCCCTGTTCGACAAGGAAAGGATGGTCAAAATACAAAAATTTAGTGAATTTTTTAACATTCAGCCTATTAAAGAAATGCAGGAAATATTGCTTACTTTCTAGCAAGGACAGGACCAGACTTCATGCAACCAATGTAAAGACGATGTGTCATACGATGACCAGCTAAGGTTGTTCCAAGTGTTGCTGGGGTAATTTATTAGTAAACAAACTCAATGAGATCAAGAAGATAACAGATAAAACTGTCAGTTGATCAAAGAAATTATTATTCTTGTGAGTATACCTTGCCAAGGACAACATCAAGTTCAATAAAAACACAGAAAAAGGTACAAACATGGCAGCCTGGTGCATCAGGAAAACTGTTTCTAGTATATACAAATTTCAACATATTATTTTTTATCTCACAGACCACCAGAAAGTGTCTTAGCTTTCACATTTGGGTATTGTCAGTGATATAGGGCTCAAAATTGATTGCAGTGAAAAATTGCCAGATGCATCCTTAGATCTGATTGCGTAACTCATGCATTGTGCCTCCACACTTCCGTTAGACAAACATACAATGATCCATAGTAAACTTGATGGTTTACTCAAATGAATCAACAATTTATGTGAGACCTTTCAGCAACTTTATTTAAAGAGTTGTTTTCAGCCCCAATAATTTACCCAAAAATAAACCTAATCTCGATTCGCATTAAGTACCATTCTAATTATGAAATCAAGGCACATTGCAGAAAAAGTCAAATGCCTACAAATGATGTATGCAAGATGAAGGTACAGACTTTCCCCTTACCTAGATTTACATGAACATCATCATCAACTTTGACATAAAATTCTGCATGCCATGTGGCAACGGCAGTGGAGAAGTAAGTCTTAGTCTTGGCGGACAATTCCAGGTAGCCCTCAGTATGGTCCTGCTCGTATAATATGAACAAACACGAGACAGCCAATCAGAATTTTCTTCTGGTCTTCATTAAGATTACTAGGACTCTGATTGTAAACACGGATAACACCATTAAAGGAACAAGAGAGAAACATCACCAGCGTCAAGAAGTCTCCGTGCATAATTTCCTCTGCTTCAATAGCTTTATCAAGAATACCACCTGATGTTGCACTATATAAATATCCCAATTGATTAATGAACAACTTTTTACTCCTTAACAGCAAAATTATAGAGACAAACTAGAGATTCAGTATTTAATAAACTTTTCGATAATATAAAGAGGATTCTAACTGGAACTCAAGGATCAATTCATGGTTTACAAGCTAGAACAAAACATTATTTGGGTAACATGAATTTATACCATTTTTCACAATTTGTACAAAATTTTTGCATCAGAGAATAGGCTTGAATTGTAGGCTAGTTCTAAACCCACTTTTAGAAGGCAAAGAAAAAGAAATATAACCAGATTTGTGATATTTTTCAAAGCTAAGGCTCAAATGTTCATCAAGTTCATTGATGGAAAAAATATAACTTATAAACAGAGGTATTTACCCAGATAATCTACACACGAAATAGGTATTTCAAATCTCACCTGTGACCTATAACAAATCGTATAATGATGCCTTTCTCTTCCTCCAGCCTTTTTCGTTTTTCACCTATTGTTGTTATAGTAAATTCCATTTATCACACATTAGATGAAGGATGCAACAAAATGAGCATATAATAACAGGAAGAAAATTAGACAAATATATAACTAATTGATGCACCTTGTGGCATCCAAGTTTCACGAACTGAGTCTCTTCGTTTTCGGCTACTAAAAGCTGTATTTATTCCAATCACCATAAAGTACTTTCTTTTTGAAGGTGACTTGATTTTTCCTTTTACTGGAGGACTGTGCAACATAGACTCATGCTCAGCTCTAGCAGCACCTAATTTCCTCTCTAATTCTGAAATTTTTATATACTGTTCCCTGCATTCAGAATGTAGGTCACTCAAAAAAGAATACTACATCTTATAAAATGAATCTAGTTTAACATGCATTAGAACAGCTTACTTAATAGCATCCTGGACTGTCGAACTACCCCCTACACTGTTGTTGGAATTATGTTTTACAACCTTATTAATAAGAAAAAAGAATATGAAAAACATCAGTAGCCGATTTCAAGAAGAAGTGAGATCACATGTAACAATAACAAGCAAAATAGAGCATTGAGTTTAGAAGGTAGAATTTAAGCAGACACCACTAGGGTTATGATGGCAGGTTTTAGTGATCAGATCATCAATCAGTGTGAAAAATAGTAATTAGAAACAAAGCAGTGTATTGACCATTAAATCATGATTCTGCCACCCTTTCAGCCATGCCCATTAAAAAAAAGAAAAAGAAAAAGAAAACAGAAAAAAAGTATCTGCCGAAGCAAATTCTTCCAGAAATGGATTCCCAAGCACTACACTTTCACTTTAATATGATTTTTTGAAAGAAAAGATCAATATATATTATGAGACCAGAAAGCAATATTTTCAAAAGAAAATAACATTCCATTTGTTAGAAGTAGTTCAAAGTATGATGAGACTTGTGATCTGTAATGGAGAAAAAAAAAAAATTCCACAGGCCACCAAAAGTCATCCTTCTACGAAGTCAGACTTTAGATATAACTTAAGTTATTCAAACTGCAAAATCACATCTTCAAATCTTAGCTGTAGATCAGGAACTGAGATTTGAAGGGTAGCGTGACAGATTCACTCACAAGATCAGTATAACAACCCTTCGACTGTATCCCTTCATCTTCAAGTTTAGATGTTCGTGCAATGCCTTTAACTTCGGGCATAATCTGAACCCTGACACAATATTTCTTGATTTATAAGCATGGATATAGTAAAAAAAACCAGCCAATTTGTGAAGTAACTTGAACATTTACGGCAATCAACAGCCAAAAAAAAAAAAATGAAGCCAAAAAATTTAACTAACATATATCTCAAAAGAATAATGGAAGAATCCAAAATACAAAAACTGGTAACCTAAAATAAAATCTTTTTCATTAGCTATTTATCGTTCTGGAAATGAAAACAAACACCTCCACTCAACTAAGCCAACTCAAACTAAGACTTAGTTGACCTGCATTTTTAAACATTCAGCAAGAAACCAGACAACCTAACAATTTAGAAGTTTATTCCTTTACCAATGTTTCCCAGCCACAGCAATCCGGGGGAAAAAAGAAATGTACGTAACAAAGATTACAACTTTGGCTTAACTTCATGAAATCGAGCACACTAATTGGAAAAAGTGAAAGAACAATTAAACTAAGAACTTAAGCAGAAGAAAGTGCAATGGGCTAGCTTAAATTGGCTATAATATCAATGTGATTTCACACTACCCAAATTTAGAACAGCAAAAACAATAATGAATCACAGTATCTGGCAACAAAATAGCAAGTTAATAATAGTAGTTCGCAATCAGAGCACATTAAAATCAACAAACCACATGATCCGAATTATCTGTTCGTAATAAAACAAGAAGATACACAACAATGGTTTGCCAACAAATCAACAAATAGCAAAAATTCACAAACTCCTAAAACCAACTACACAAAGCAATTTCTTCAGATACCTTTTCATAAATACATCTAATTCTAAGAATGCAGTGATGCCCACTTGGGAAAATCCAAACTTTACTAAAAAAAAAAAAAAAAAAAAAACCACAAAAATTAACTAAAAAAAAGAAGAAAAAAACTATAGATTCAAAGTAAACAACAAAAACCCAAGAAGAGAAATTTACCTATTAGTGAAAAACATCCCAGCGCTGAAGCAGCAAACACAGAGAAAAAGAGCCAATTTCCTTGACACAACATTCTTCGCGACAAATTCTCCTCTACTCTTCAAATACATTATTATTTTTTCTCCTCACTTCTCAAAATTATTCAAAATGACAAGGAAAATTTTAATATTTCGGCGTTGTTTGTTTGAAACTCACACTGTTCTTCCTCAAAAGAGAGACAAGCTGAAAGAGATGCACAGTGTATAGACCAACTGACTGCCCACTTAACAACCCCAAGTTTGACAAAACACCGACGTTAGTTTCCATAAGAGTAATGAAAGTATATGTTTGGACTTTGGACACTAACTAGGAAGTAGTTTTTACTTTCATTTAGAACTAGCCTGTAACTTTGTAGGTCAAGTCAAACCATTTTAACTTTTTAGTTCATTTGGGGTCTGTCAAAGTTGTTTACAATTTAATGCAAAACTCTCCATATAAAGTAAAAAAAATATAACCAATTTAAAGTTCTCTCCCATTCTGATTCAGGTTCCTAGTTTACTGGTGATAATAAGATCTTGTCTTTATTAGCAATATAGCATTGGAGGCTCAGTTTTAGCCCAAAAAGTTCTCTTAAGAAGACAAACTTATAGGCTTGTTGGCTAATCATTGCCTCTAAGAAGAGGCTAAGTGAGTTCATGTGGCAGCTGCCCTTTTCAAAATGGTTGCATGGGTTTGTTTTAATATTTTGGATAGTACTTTTAGAAAAAATAAGAGTTGAGTGATTATTATGGAATATGATTTAAAAATTAATAAAAACACATTTTAGATTTGTTAATTTACTAAATATCTCTGTAATAAAATATTAAAAATTAATAAAAACACCTCTATCTATCTATTAAATATTGACAGCCAGTCACTACCTTTAGAGGATGGTCGAAGTCATCGATTGTGTACCGATATGACTTTTCCAACCAAATCCACCATAGATCTGATTGAAAAAGGCCAGATTTATGGCTAGATCTAACCATTGACGACCAGATCTGGCCGCGGTTGGTCGTTAACGACGACCATATCTTAGCTGTCGTTGACAACTAGCTACAAGCAGATCTTTGGCCGTAGATTTGACATTTTTCGATCAGATTCATGATGGATCTGGCTGGAAAAGACTAGATCGGTGCACTACCTGCCAAATCCAGTCAATAGTGTGCCATTATACCAGATTCCGACCACCTTCCGGCAATGATGGCTGGAATCTGGAAAATGTGGGTGGATGGGGGTGTTTTTGTCAATTTCTAAACTTTTTTAGGGGGTGTTTAGTTAAATTAACAAGCTTAAGGGGTTTAAAAATAATTAAATATAATATAATAGTATTTTCAGAATAGGGAAACAAATGTATTTTGGAAATGATAGGAATAGGATAGGGTAAAAATAAGGAAACAAATGCACCCAATTGTACTTTCCAAAACAATTTTGGCTGCGTTTGGCCACCTATCATATTTCTATCCTACCAAAAATACATATTTCCTTGTTCTCAAAATTCAATCCTGTTTTATTCAACTATTTTTAAACCTCTTAGGTTTGTTAATTCAACTACACGCCTCCAATAAAAAAAGCTTATAAATTGACAAAAACACCCCTACCCACCCACATTTGCCAGATTCCGACCACCATCGTCGGAAGGATTTTCTAGATTCCAACCACCATCGTCGGAAGGATTTTCTAGATTCCAACCACCATCGCCGGAAGGTGGTCGAAATTTGTCATAATGACGCACTACCAGCTGGATCTGGTCGGTAGTGAATCGATCTAGCATTTTCCGACCAGATCCATCGTGGATCTGGCCAAAAAGGGCCAGATCTACAACCACATCTAGTCAAGGCCAGATATTTGGCCACATAAGACGGCTAAGATATGATCGTCGTTGATGACCAGATGTGGCCGTAAAAGGCTAGATTGGTGTACTACCGGCAAGATCCAGCCGGTAGTGCGCCATTACCACGATTCCGGTCACCTTCCGACGGCAAGAATCTGGCAAATGTGGGTGGGTGTGGGTGTTTTTATCAATTTATAAACTTCTTGTAGGGGGTGTTTAGTTAAATTAACAAACCTATGGGGTGTTTTTATTAATTTTTAAATCATACCTCATAATAACAACTCAACTAAACTTTTTCAAAAATATTACTCAAAATAATAAAACAAAAACAGTTGTTTTTTTCTCTTCTTTGTGACCATAAAAAAAAAAAAAAAAAAAAAAATCTTTGGGTGGCCGAGCAATCAATTGGAACTCTTGAGTGTATTATTCAAGAGGTCTTGAGTTCGATCTACCTCGATCCCTAATAGGGGTAGCCACTGGAGGCTTACCTGGTCATTAACTTTAAGGTCTTAGGGAATTAACTGAGATGTGCACAAGGTTATTTGGACACTCTAATAAAAATAATAATAATAATAAATAAATAAATAAGGGATATACAGTAGAACCTCTCTATAGTCATAATGTTAGGATCAACTAAATTTATTACTATGAGGAGGTTAAAACTTAATAGATGTGTAACTAAAAGAATTATTGTTTTGATTTTTGATTTTATAATTTATGTTTTAGTAGTATTAGGATTTCAATTCATTGTTTTAGTAGCATTAGAATAGTATGAAAATGAATATCAAAGAGTCATTACAAAATTGAGTGATCATATATGACAACTTCACTACGCTAATCAAATAGATATTAATATCTTCCTTAATCATCCAAATGAGAAACAAGTCGTGTATGCTTTAACTGAAGAAGAAATCATTACTGGAATTAAACAAGAAGAGGAATGAGATAATCCTAAGGATAAATATAGTACAGAAATACCAAAAGTTTCGTGCCAAAAAGCTCCAAACGTACAATTAAAAATATTTTGGCTTCAACAAGAAGGTGTCCATGGTGACGACTTATTACAGACCCGCAAGATAAAAGATATGGTAACAACTCTAAAACATAACTCATTATCTCAGACAATTTTAGATAAATATTTTATTTCATCTTAAACATTTAATGTAACATAATATATATTTTTTTATAATATACATATAATTATTACAATATAAAGGTAAGTTCCTTAAGATGAGACTTAAAAAAACTATAATTTATTACAATTTGAAATTTATTTTTATTTATAACTAGCCCAAGACAAGAATTTTTTATGACTACATGAAAGTTATTCCTACATGGAATATCACTATAGAGATGTTCTACTATAATAACTTTTAAGTGCTCATGGTAAAAGTATTAAAGTTTGATCATTATTACATCTCGTAAATTTTATTAAAAGCATAGCACTAAGAGATTTTGGATTTTGCGAATACCCACATTGCATAATCTAAGGGTAAAAGTCAAAATATTTAAAGGTCAAGGTAATGCTTATGTTTCAATTCCATTATATTAGCTTGGTAATGGAAGTAAAAGAGAATCATAGTAGGATAATGGAAAGTATCGATTTGTACAATACGAAGCAGTGCTTTCTGATGATGTAGCAGCAACTGGCAAAGGACAAACCACTTCTGATATTGCAAAGCATATGCTTCTCTATTGCTAATCTGTAAAGCACATGATAATACCAAAAAATTATACAGGACATTTAGATATAAGAAAACCCATCAACAAAGTTGAAAAGAAATAAATTAATGTATTAGTACTAGATTAACCCACCCTAATGGAAGGACCACTTGTTGTGTTTGATGGAACAAGTAGGCATGGCAATGGACCCCGGATTTCTAGGGTCCCGTCTTGTTCTACCCCGTATGGGGTAGAGATTCCCTAGTTTTGCGGGGATAGGGGCAAGGAGAGGGAGGCCTTGGGGAGACGGCGAATTTTAGGGTAGAACCAGAACCGATGGATACTTGGGAGTCGATTCCGATCCCTACTCGAAACCGATCATAGCAGGATAGGTTCCGGTTCTAAAAAATTGGAACAGATACTGTGCGGTTTCGGTTCTGGTTCCAAATCAAAGGAACTGGAGCGGGAACTGGGAATCGAGACTAAATTTATATAATATTAAAGAATATGAGTTTTTTTTTGATATTTTGCATATGGGGTTTTTTTTTTGTTGTTGATATTTTGCATATCATATAAATATATAAGAAAATTTTGGTATTTTTTATCTTAGTATCAAAACTCTTATTAATTTTCATTAAAAGATCAGTTTTTCAAAATATTCTTATTAATATTTAAGTTTTACTTATTACTTGATTAAGAAATTAATATACATTAAGACATTTACGTTAAATAATAGTTTTTAAATGTTTATTATTGGTGAAAACAAACAATTAAATACTTAAAATCAAGCATCAAACATCAAGTAAATATAAACAATATATTATTTAATGTTTTGCACTTAATTGTTAGGGATGTAATTGTAATTTTATAAGGGTTTATTTATCATTTTTTTTTTAAATAGAGGGGTAATTGATATTTTCTAAGATACCCGGAACCAAAACCGATAGTTCTGATTCCAATTCCAAATCAAAGGAACCGGCCGGTTCAAGTTCCTTTGATTTTGGGGACCTGCCCGAGGGGGCGAAGGCGCCCCGTATATATATACTTTACATTAATACATTTTGGACAAATGTAGTGCCTTAACTTAAGTTTAGACGATTAACTTAAGTGTAATTGTCATATGGATTAACGGGGGGAGGACGAGCCTATGAAATTCCCCGTGGGGCGGGGACAGGGAATCTCCCGTCATTCCCATAATGGGTCGGGGCGGGTGCAGGAAATGGGGTCCTCGGCCTCGCCTCACCCCGGCCCATTGTCATGCCTAGGCGCAAGGGACTTTTGAGTGGTCCTCAAACACTTTGTTGATGCTTAATATGGTGAAATTTGAGGTAAGAGTGAAAGCATGGGAATAATTTTCCCGAGAAAAATATCATATAATTATTCTTGTCGGCAAAAGGGGATATAGCCAACCATCTAGTGGATTCTTGAACTTGTGTTTATAGATAGAGAATTACAGATGATACCATGTATATAATAAGAATCTGTCCAAGGACAAGGAGTAAGACTATTCTCTGACTGAACTTTTAAGCATTGGTGGTGGCCGGTGGCCCCTTATTCATGTGCAAAAGAGTTTTGGATGGATATATATGAGACTTCCTTTAACATAAAGAAACTTCACAGCCCCATTAGGCTCAAGCAAAGCTAAGCAAAGAGATATGAGTTTAACAGTTTGGTTCTGCTGTTTGGTTCCAGTTTTTCATCAAACACATTTTGTCAGAATAAAAAAGATGAAATGAGGTTAGGATAAGATTGAAAAGAGGGTACAAACACAGCAGATAGATTAAGCAGCAGGCATAAAGGTTAAAACTAATAATTCAACT